GAAACAGACAAGTTGCTGTCCTTTTGTTCTTCAGTCTAGTTGTGGAGGACGTCGCTTCACTGGCCCATGTTGGCACCATCATTGCGCTCTTCCCAGGGCGAGGCAGATCAGTCGCCGGCTTCTGGACGGCCGCTCACTGCGGCTGCTGGCCGCTCACGCTGGCTGCTGGCTACACACGGTAGCCCATGGCAACCCACTGCCACAGGGGCTGCAGCCTACGCCGTCGCAGGCGACTCATGGCAGCCCAGCTCCAGGTCGAGCTGTTGTTCAGCATCTTAGCTGTAGAGGGCAGTGTCACTGGCCCTCATATGTGGGATCCGAACCGGGGCCCTCTGGTGTCCCAGGCCAGTTCTTAACCATCGCGCCACTCGGCCGGCCCTATTTTAGTATAGTTTTAATTTGTATTCTCATTATGAGTGAGATTAAGTATCTTTTCATAATTTTCAAAGCCATTCTTACATCTTTTTCCAACTTTCTTTTTATATCTTTAGTCTGACTTTCTGGTGGTTTATGAAATAATATTTTATGATTATCATTTTTAATTTTTACATTACACATTGTATTATGTTGTATCATTGTTTATCTTTTTGTAGTTGGGCATTTTATGTCCTTTTGGCATGTGCCTATTATATTTATTTTGCTGAGAACAGTTATAAAAAGGTTTTTTCCCCTTTAGGTTATTTATTTGGGAATCAAGAATTCTAGGATCTGTTGTAAGTTTTTGTACTAATAAGCTGAGTAAACCACGTAACTTCATCTGTAAAATAAGGATAGTTTCTTTTTTGGATAAATAATGCTTTTCTTTGGTAACAAAATTATCTTTCACTTGCCTCCCTTGACATTTCTTGGTTAGAAATACCTCTTCATCTTTTTTCAATTCACATTAAAGCTATTTTTTAGAGGCATGCCTTTGTATGTGTGTGGTTGGGGGCTGCTAAGGAAGAAAAATGCTCTGCTTTTTATTTAATTTAATACAAGTCATAAATATGCATGTTAATCTTCATGACTGTGTAACTCCTGCCAATTCACCCAATTTTCTAGATTCAGTTGGAAAGCCGATCTTAAATCTGTTTAAATTGTCTTTCATTAAAAATTAACACACTCAACTAGTTACACTATTTCTTCAGTACACAGCTAGGGATTAAATTATAATAGAACCTGTTCTCAGTCCGGTTGTTTTCCTCTGTTTACTTGGCATCTATAAAAATGGCTCTAGAGAAGATGAACAGATATATGTTTTGATGTGTACTTTTGGGAATAAAATTAGAATCTGGTGAAATGAGATGTAGACAGTAACAATTAAATTACAATATCGAAAATGTAAGTGGAATGTTAGTAAAACTGAGAAGTTACAAATTTTAAAGTCCTCTAGAGCCATGGCATACATAGATTCTCAACACTAATAAATCTTGAATATATGATATATTCTTAGTCCCTCCCTGCAAGCAAACTAGATGAAAATTTGCCATACAGTTTTTCACCAGAGATATGAGTGCATTAAACATTTAAAAGGAACCCTGGAGCACATTTTAGGCAATTCCCTCCTTTTATCAATGGTCAAGCCTTCCCTCAGGAGGGGAGATGAACTTCCTTCATGCACAGCTGTTTAGTAGTGGAGTTGAGACTAGATGTTGATTCCTAGTCCATTTTACTTTCTACCACAGTACTTAAAGGTTGTTATTGTTTTATTCTCTTCCTCCTGTTTATCTTCCACACCCCATATCTCCTATGCAATTAGTCAGTGATGTGTCAAACACTGATTTCTGTAGTATTGTTTCTCTTTGGAAATTTTATTTTATTTTTGGTTTCCATACTTATCCTAATCTAGGCACTCACCACCCAATACTGGCTGCACTCGCTACTGCCTTGTTAGCTCTTTCAACCTTTGGCTCTTTGCAGTTTATTCCATTCACTGCTGATAGATAGAATGATATTCTTTTTAAAATGTTTTCATCATGTTCTTTTTCTACTTAAGGACTTTGGTGGCATCCTGTTGTGTATGTGATCAGAATTCTCAGCCCAGCTTTCAAAGGATCTTCTCAAATGATCGTGCCTTACCTATTTGATCATATATATCTGCTTAGTCTCCATATCTGTTCAGATGTCATACACATCCCTTGCCTGTTCCAGCTTGTGAATTGGTTATTTGTCTTTCACATATAAAATTTTCAATTGCATTTTCTTTCTGTTGTCAGTGATGAATAATGTTTTCTCCAGATATGTATGTTTTAGCTGTGCTCATTTTTATTATAGACAAAAGCATGCTATGTATGTGAGTGCACTTGTGGGTTTGGAAAATATTAATTTAAAAATGAATTAGAAACTGACAGGAAGAAAATATAGTGGATAGCCTTCTTGGTCCTGGATTTTACTAGAGTATATGCAATAAAATGAGATGATTTGGGGAATTGGGAAGGGACTTAAGAATTGTGTTTCTGAAAGCTTAGGTGATAGGAAATAGGAGAAGAAAATAATTCTTTTCCACTTTATCTACAAGCTTAAACTTTGAAACTGGACCTATGTTTAATGAAGGAGATTAGGAGAAAGGTTTACTTAAGAGATTATAGGTATGGGACCCAGAGGAAAGTCAGTAACTGGCTCAGTGATGTTAGAAGACAGCCAATTAGTCAAACTTGACTTGAACCCAAACAATAAAAGACAGAGTTTTTAAAACATTGGGGCTGGGAAGTATGCTTAATGTTAGGAGCCAGTACCTGTATAATTTGTGCTTTGATGTTTTTCATGTAAAAGTAAAGTAGTTAAATATTTTAAGCATCTCTAAGGTAATAGGCCCTGTGCTAGACTATGTATTTATAATACAAAGAGGAAAAAATAATTTGGACCTTAAAGGAAGCTCAGAGCCAAGTAAGGGAGGCAAACTTATATATGAACAAATATGTTAATTGCCATAGGAAGATCCTTACAAAGTACAACATAATTTAAATTAGGAATCAGTGAACTATGCTTTGAGGAAAATCAAAGGGAAGGAACATGGAAACTTTGATTTAAAAGTCATATAACTAGGAAGAAATGCCCCTTTCTGCTTCATTCAGCCTGCCTGGTGGAATAAATGAATGAGGGACTCTACTCTGGCCTGAAGATCAATGTCTACAGGGAAAGTATCATCATCCTCTATTAATTCTCTGGACAGAAGTGCCAGAGATGATCCTAAGTCTTTTGGGGTGCCCCTGACATTTCTCTCTCTTAATCAAAATTCTATACCATTCTGAGGCACAAGACTAAACAAAAGCCTTAGCTGTCTAACCCAGTCTTACCCTGATCTTTTATTTTTAATTCCCATATTCTAATATGTTTATATTTATTCAGGATGGAAATGTATCATTTCAAAAATGTTTCATAGGTATTTTACCCAATTAGGATGTAAAAATAAGTTTTGACCTTTTAGGTCTCACATAGGGCTGAATAGTGTGAACTTAATTAATTTTTGTTAAATGAGAACTTCCCAGTAATTCTTAGATGCTGAATTAGCTTTTGCTATGGCAACAAACAACCCCCACATTTCAGGGGCTTACAATAACAAACATCTATTCCTCATCAGCATTTGGTAGATTGGTTGTGCTCAGCTGGCTCAGCTGGTCTTGACAGTGTCTGGCTCCAGGCTGAGATCTGTTCATGATAGAACCCAGGCTGAGGGATCGGTGTGGGGCACAGTCTTCTCCTGGGGGAGTGCAGGAGCAAAGGGAAGCTAGCAGCAATAGTTCTTAAAAGAACTTTGTGGAACTGGCCCACATTCCAGTGGTCAAAGCAAAGCATATGGCAAGACAAACACCCAAAATGAAGAGTGGGAAAATGGTATTTCCCTATGGTGTGGGGAATGGGGGAGTGAATGTTTATTGAACAGTATAATCTAATACAGAGGTTTCTGAATTTTTTTAAAAAATTAAAGGAACAGGTGAAGTTATAGTATGAAACAAAAGAATCTGGTGGGGAGGAGGGCTTCCGCTGGCCTAGGAGTGAGAAAGATTTGATTAAAACCTGAATTACTTTAACAAAAGCAGTATCAGCATTACAGGATAAGGGGGAGCCCAGTGTCCTAGTTTAAAACTTGGGCGCTGGAGTCAGTCCACTCTTGGTTCCGATTCTGGACCCAACACTTCCTAGCTGCACGGTCTTGAGCATGTCACTGCATCTCCGTGTCCACAGCTGTCAAATGGATGTGCCACGTATCAAACTGTTGCTTTTCGTCTCTAAATCCATCTTTCTTTGTCCAGTTTGAGATACTGGAAATGTCTCCCATGTCAACTTTTGTTAAGCTTTGTCAGTAGAGGGACTGGAGAATGAATGGGTGTTTCTTCCTGATTCTAGTGTGCTCTGTGCTGCTGCTCCTGTGGCATTCAGTGGGCAGCAGCATGGGGGACATCCGGTGGCACTCAACTCCTGGGGAGTTTTAGTGGCAACACTCTCACATGCAGTTCCCCAGTGAGTTCCATACTGTGGCATCTCCCCACGGGCACCTTCCCGAGTTCTGCTGGCATGAGTTCTCCTAGTAGATGGCTTTACTGTGAATTCTGTTGGTGTGGCACTTTAGTATGTTTCTCAGACATCCATTGCTGTGTCCTCACCACAAGGCCTGGATCTCAGCTTTGTTCGAGTGGCCTCTTAACAGCTTTCCTTTCTTGTTGCTCTGCTTCAGCCCTCAAAGTAGTGGCTGCTTCCTGTATCTGCTGTCTCTTTATCCCTAGCACTTAGACCCCTGTTGTAATTAATTATACTATATATTAAAATTTCCTTGTTGAAATGTGATCTGGTCTTCCAATTGTACCTTGACTGATATACTAGGTGTACAAGTAGTACTTTTCTCATACGAGTGTTCTGAGGATTAAATGGAATAATATAATACATGGTATTGCAAAGTGTTTAGACTAGTGTCTGCCACTTGAGTTAAGTACTTATATTTTTTGGTGAAGTTGATACTATCATCATCATCATCACTGTCGCTACCAGTAGTTAGGAGTAACATTTCTACCTTTTTTCCACAGGATGTTTCGTCTTAACTCACTTTCTGCATTAGCAAAACTGACTCTGGGCTCTCGATGGTACCATGGAGGGTCTCAGCCCACCCAGATCAGGCGACGACTAATGATGGTGGCTTTCCTGGGAGCGTCTGCAGTAACTGCAAGTACTGGGCTTTTGTGGAAGAGGTGAGTGTTATCTGAGCCTCCTGTTCCTGCATATACTTTTATTCTTCCAGTTGTTTCTGTTATCTAGCTAATAAAAGGAATTGATTTCTGACTTACCTTTGTATCAAAACTTCTTGCCAGAATCCTTTGGCATTGATAATATTTGTGTATGAAATAAGATGTTTCAAAGAATTCAGCTATCATGTCAAAGCAACAGATAGGAAGTTTTCTGCTTCAAGGTCTGCCTCTCTCCTTTGCTGAACATTTTAACTTATTTACCAATCTAAGAATTTTTTTAAATTTATAATAAATAATTACTATAATAAATAAGTTTAATAATTTAAGTTTTAGCATGTAAAATGCAGTGGTTTTAAGTATATTCCCAAAGTTGTGCAGTCATCACCACTCTTTAATTTCTGAAAATTTTCATCACTTCATAAGAAACTCCATGCCATTTAGCAGTCACTCCCACTTTCTCTATAACACCCAGCCCTAGGCAGCCACTAATATTTCTGTCTGTAGATTTGCCTATTCTGGACATTTCATATAAATGGAATCTTATACTATGTGGCCTTTTGTGACTGGTTTTATTCACTTAGCATAATGTTTTCATGATTACTCTATGTTGTATCATGAATCACTACTTCATTTCTTTTTATGGCCAAATTATATTCTGTTGTGTGGAGTGTATACCACATTTTATTTATTGATTTATCTGATGATGGCATTTAGGTTATTTCTAATTTTTGGCTGTTAAGAGTAATGCTGCTATGAACATTTGTGTACAAGTTTTTGGGTGGAGTGTGTTTTCATTTCAGATGGATATATATATCTAGGAGTGAAATTTCTGGACCATATGGTAACTCTGTTTAACTACTTGAGGAACTGCTGGACTGTTTTCTACTTCTACCAGCAGTATATGAGTGTGTGTGCTTGTGAGTGTGTGCATGTGTGTGTATGTGCTTAGGTTTCCTCATCTGTAAAATGGGGAAAATGATAGTATCCATATCATAGGGTTCTTATGAAGATTAAATGAATTCTTATTTGTTAAATGCTTACAACAGTACCTGGCACATAACTTTGTAAAATAAATGTTTTATGTAGAAAGTTCTTGGCACATAGTAAGCTATCAATAAATGTTAGCTATTATTATTGAGTGTAATAGGCTGAGCAGTGGTGAAGAAAGAAGGAGAAAGAATATTAGCAGAAAAGACTAACTTTCCAAGAAGTTGAGGTCATGATATAAAAGATCTTATATATTGTGCTAAGGAGTTGAAATTTTAATGTCTAGGCAATGGTGATCTAAGAAGTTTTGAAGCAAGAGATTGATAATAGACAAGTTTTAAGAAAGATTAATATAGCAATAACAATGGGATAAACTGAGTGGGAAGAAGCTACTGACAGACACTAATAGATGATGAGGAGGATATATAGGACCCCCTAGAAAAGAGTGACTGGGCTTAGAAAAATTTCTAGGTAAAAAGAACAGGAGGAGAGATAGGGAAACCGGAGGACAAAGAGGAGAAAGAAAGGGAGGCAAGAAAGAAGGAAAGGAGAAGCAGGAAATGCACTTTTTGTCCTTTAGTGTAATGAATAGTAAATGCTTAGCAGTTTCTTCAGGAATGCTTTCCTACAGTGGAATTGCAGGGCCCCATGCAGGCCTTTTGGCCTAGTCTAATATCTAAGAAGACAACAGACTGTGATTGAAGAACGAAGAAATTGTTTCATAGTTTGAATGTTTAAGAAGTTATTATTCTTCATTTGATAAAATCCAGCAACCATTTATGATTAAAAAAGAAAAATCAACAAAGTGGGAATAGAGGAAACATACCTCAACTTGATAAAGGCTATATATGACAAACCGACAACTAGTATGATACTCAGTGGGAAAAAGCTAGAAGTGTTTCCCTTAAGATCAGGAAGAAGACAAGGATGCCACTTTTACCACTTTTGTTCAACATAGTATTGGAAGTCCTAACAACAGTAATCAGACAAGAAAAAGAAATAAAAGGCATCCAAATTGGAAAAGAAGAAGTAAAACTGTCTTTATTTGCAGATGGCATGATACTATATATAGAGAACCCTAAACATTCCACCAAAAAAAACCTATTAGAACTAATAAATGAATTTAGTAAAGTAGTAGGATGCAAAATTAATATTCAGAAATCGGTTGGGCCGGCTGAGTGGCACGTTGGTTAAGAACTGGCTTGGGATGCCAGAGTGCCCCAGTTCGGATCCCATATATGAGGGCCAGTGGCACTGCCCTCTACAGCTAAGAAGCTGAACAACAGCTCAACCTGGAGCTGGGCTGCCGTGAGTCGCAGGTGATGGCATAGGCTGCAGTCCCTGCTACAGTGGGTTGCCATGGGCTACCGTGTGTAGTGAGCAGCCAGCATGAGCGGCCAGCAGCCGCCGTGAGCGGCCAACCAGAAGCCAGCGACTGATCTGCCTCGCCCGGGAAGAGCGCAATGATGGTGCCAACTTGGGCCAGTGAAGCAACGTCCTCCACAACTAGACTGAAGAA